CACCCCTGGCTTAAGGCAACTCATTCCAAACACGTCAAGAACCCGCCCCCTTTAAAAATGAGTGGGTCATGCTCAGGGGTTGGCAAGCTGGGCTGAGACTTGGCCAGCAGCCCTGCAGATGGTTGGCAGCTAGTTGGTGGCAAATGCAGGAGGACAAGGCAACTGGTGAGCTGAAACCCACTGCAAATGCTGCTGGCCAGTTCTGAGCTGAGAGGTCCCTGCAGCACTGGCAGAGCGACCGGGGATTGGCTTGGCTGGCCTCTGGTTCTCACTGCCCCCCCCCCCAGCAATGGCCCATCAGGAGCTTCCCTGGTCAGTTCAATGGCGCGTCTGCCTCTGGACCAGATCCAGCCAAAGTGGGTTTAAGAATGTGCTCAAGTCAATGGGACTGAGAAGTACTTGAGCACTGACAGCTTAATAAAAAGAATGGGTCTAAAAATCACGTGGGACCACTGCGACGCAGCGATGTTCCTTCCCCTTTGTCATTTCCAGTAAAAAAAGATTAGGAATGGATTGATGTGGGAGATGATGGAAAGGATGTGTGGATTCACGGGGAGATTTAGAAAGCATCCTGCATCTTCTCCAGCCACTACAGTGGTATAGGAGTCTCTTGCTGCTGGTGCGCATGAAACCCCATGAAAGCTGCACCAAGGCCAGTGTCATAACAGAGGCCAGTTTGGAAGAGCAGCAGCCTCCCTTTTACCTATTGTCTCCCCCTTCATTCTCTCTGAGGGTCTGCCAGGGGGTCCCCACCCTGAGAGCCAGTTTGGTGTAGTGGTTAAGTGCGCGGACTCTAATCTGGGAGAACCGGGTTTGATTCCCCACTCCTCCACTTGCACCTGCTGGATGACCTTGGGCAAGCCGTAGTTCTGGTACAGCTGTTCTTGAAAAAGAGCAGTTTCTGTCAAGAGCTCTTTCAGCCCCACCTACCTCACAAGGTGTCTGTTGTGTGGGGAGGGGAAGGGAAAGGCGTTTGTAAGCCGCTCTGAGACTCCCTTGGGTAGTGAAGGGCGGGGTATAAATCCAATCTCCTCTTCTTCTTTTGAGCCTCTGGGCATCTTTGGGATTCTGGCAGAGTGTGGTGGGTGGCAGTGTTCCCTCTAAGCTGAGTTAGTGTGAGCTAGCTCAGAGCTTGTTAGCCTCCGGCTCACACATTTTTGTCTTAGCTCAGGAAGGATGGCTTCAGAGCAGACTAATTTATGCAGCAGCCAAACTGCTTGCTCACAGCTTTAATGCCAGTAGCTCACAAAGTAGACTTTTTGCTCACAAGACTCCACAGCTTAGAGAGAACATTGGTGGGTGGGGCGGCCACAAAATGGCTGCTGAAGCTTCCTTTCAGTCACACAGTGGAAATCCTTGTGCTGTGGTGGCAGCCACGGCCAAAGCAGCATTTTCAAAAACCTGCAGAGCCAATCAAATCTCTCCTGGCCAATCAGAAGCCTTGCTGGGCAAAAGTCTCACCCACTTTTTGAAAGCACTTGGCAAGTGCCAGGGAAGGTTTCAGCAGGTGTCATGGCGCCCGTGGGCACCACACTTGGGGTCCTCTGTGCCACGCCGAGAAGGAAGACTGACATAGCTAAGGCTATTTGCCTGGGCAGTAGGAACTAGTGGCAGAAAAGGTGAGAAGCCCGCCTCAGCCGTCTCATGGATCAGATCCGGAGGAGCGTGCAAGGGGGAACTGTCTCCTATGGACCACCTGGAAAGCCGATGCAGATTTACTCCCGTCTAAGTCAATAGGTTTAGACCGGAGTAACTCAGTATGGGACCGCATGGCGAGTTCTTTTATTTAGAGGAAAGTTTCCACCTTCAGGGAATCTTGCAAAAGACGCACCCTTGTTTGTGTGTGTTTGTGTGCTTGTATGTGCTTGCCGCCTGGACTTCTGGCGACTCCTAGTGGGGCTAGGATGTTTCGGAGAGGTGGCCTGGTATTGCCTGCCTCTGGGCCCTGGGCTTCCTTGGAGGTCTCCCTCCCAGGTCCTTGCCAGAGTCGGCCCTGCATCGCTTCCGAGATCTGAGGAGGCCGGGCGGGCTTGCCGGGACTTTCGGGGCCAGGGCGACCAAAGAAAGACGCTCTCAACAACGATTGCAGGACTTTTTTCCCCTGAGTGGGGAACTATCCGCACTTGGAGGTTGCTGAGAGATGCCCACCGACGTGAGCCTTCTCTGGGGCAAGCGAGGGAAGACGAGGACGGAGCCTTCCCAGTCCCCTCCCTCCAGTCCCGCGGCACAGCCGGGCGGCGCTTCCTTCTCCCGGCCGGAGCGCTCGGCGCGTCGCCGGGCGTCCTCCCTCCCTCCCCAGGGCCTCCTCCGCGGCCGGACCGGCGCTGGACACCCCAGGCGGCAGGCGCCAACCTGCGGCTCCGTCGGCCGCCGCGTGCTTGGGCCTCGCTCGTGGTGCGGCTCCCCTCCGCGGGAGAGCGCGGGCCCCCTCGGGTCCGATCCGTGGGGCTTACTGACCCCCGGGAGAGCAGGCGGCTTCGCGCAACCTGAGTTAGGCCAGAAGACGCTTCCTTCGAAGCCGCGCCCTCGACGGGAAGCCGGTCGTTTCACTGGGCGGCCCGGTGGCCCAGACGCCCCCCCCCCCCCCCCCCCTTCCCTGCAGCGAAATCGGCGCGTCGCTTCGTCGACGTGAGGCTCGCAGGAGTCTTCCGCTGTTCCCCTGGACTCCCCACCGGGCCTTATGCCGCCGCCGCCCTCGCAAAAGCAGCAGGGGGGTCGTGGAGCACACACCGCCGCGCGGGCCCTGAGCGCTGGCGGCAGCAGCCCTCCCGTCGCTCCCGTCCCTGGCACGGCTGGCTGGCAGGAGCCGAGGCACTGGGAGGAGGGGTGGCAGGGAGACCCCACAGGCCGTCTCAGACCCCCCCCGGCAGGAAGTGGGGAAGGGGGATTGGAGGGGGAGGGGGGCTGAGGAAGACCTCTGGCCAGGTTCTTGGGGGCTCGGGGAAGATCAAGACAGCCGTGTGCAAATGTCCAAGCTGCTCCGAGGCCTCCGCACACGACACGGCCTTTTGAGCAAACCAAGAAAGCCAGAAATGATTCCCTGGAAATGACAGCTACCCTCGGTTCTCTACTCGCCACCCATCGATGCATATTTGGGTCCCATCCCCCACCCACTTTCCGTACCTTTGCATCCCATGAGGGAATGAGGATTTCCTGCATTAAAGAGGTCTTGGATCTGACTGGGCCGGGCCAGCCTCAGCGGTGCCTGCCGCTTCTCCCTGGTGGTGTCAGAGACACCGACAGTCCCCCTTTCGTGTCAAAGGCTCCGGGAGAGTCAAAGGCCTCTCAAGGCGAGCCTGGCGAATGGGGAAAGGGCGAGAGTGCGGCCGTGGGAGCGGGGCCCCGGTTCTGGAAGGGAGCCTGGAGGCCATCAAGCCCACGCGCCCCTGCAGGCAGGACCCCCCTTGGCCCCGGAGGTCTTCCATCCCACCAGTGCAGGAGAGCCCTCTCCTCTTCCTCTTCCCTCAAACCACCCGGATGATCTCTCCTACCTCAGCCTAAACAACTTACTCGAGACAGTTGCCCGTTCCCCGCCCCGGCCGGAACAGCTGGCGGCGTCTGGGCGCCTTACCCACTTGGCGGAGCTCTGCGTTTTCGCCTGCCTCCCTCCGCTATCGGTGGAAAGGCAAACGCTTTGGAAAGACCGTGTTGGCTCAACGTGGTTGCCGGCCTGTCTTTCCGGGGATGCTTCCCCACAACCTTAAGTAGAAGCTGCCGGTGCCTTTTGTCCTGCCAGGCGGGCGTGGGGGGGAAGGGGGCTTCTGCAGACCGGGCGGCTGGGTGGCGGCCAGCGCTTCCCACGCCGAGGAGTCAGACAGGGCGGTCTGCCCCAGACGACACCCGAGTCACCTCGCAGTTCACTTGCGGGCACTTGTCTTCTCTGAGACCCGAGTGGGAAGTCTGGGGCCACCTTGACCTTCAATAGTAGGAGGTGGCGCTTGCAGTCGCTCCCCCCCCCATCCCGGACTTCATTCAAGGGTTTTTGTCAATGGGAAGAGAGTCCTGCTGATCTCCCCCGCCGCGGGTTTTGCTGACGTCACTAACGAGGCGATAAATATCTGTTGATATAATTGGATGTGGGATTCTGGGTTGTGATAGCAGAGCGCTGCCCATTGCCTCTCCGAAACGGCCCCCATGATTTATTCAGCAGTGGATCGGGGCACGCAAGCGAGCTGTCAAGAAAGCGTCAGCTTATTAGGCAAGGGCTGCGTGATTCCAGAAGAGGGTCTAACCTATAAAAATCACGCACCCCAGCTCTGATTAGCGAGCAATCTGATCACAAGGACGGCAGGAGACGGCTGGAAGAGACACGCGTCCGGAGAGGAAGGGGGAAACCCGATCCACCCAGTACTGACTCCACCCGTCCAACTTGACTCCATCGGCATCTCCAAGGTATGAAAAGATCCATGTTAACCACACACGCAGACACTGCAAACTTAGACTTGAGCAGATTCTGCTGTGTGACTCGAGTCTGGGTGGTACATAGGCGTGCAAAGTCATCATGGGACCAGGGTGGAAGCGGCTGGGTAAGGGGTTCTCTGGAAGCCCCCAAAGGGCGTTTACATTGGGTTTTGTTTCTTGAGTCACTTCAGCTGCTTTGAATGGTTTAAAAATCACGAGGCTTGTTGGGTCAAGGTTTCTATATCCAGCGCTCTTGGCCCGTAATAACATATCCCCATAAAAAGCTTCCCTGGTCCTATAAAGCATGTTCTTCGCATCCGGTGCCTTTGCTAAAAAGGGAGGTTTAGCCCTTGAAGCAACGAGGAAATGCAAGCACCCCCCCCCCCCCCCCCCCCGGGCGAGCATGCGAGCCTTTGCTGCCATGGAGGGAACATCGAAAGCTTTCAGGACCAGAGACAGCGACGGTTGAGTTGGTCGCAAGCGGGACACCTGTGGTCTACCGAGCCCTGCGCTCACCGCGCCAAGGGAGAGTCTGTAACTTATGCCAAGTCTCTTCCCCTCCTCTTATGTTTTCTTTTTTTAGATCTGGCCGCTGAAAGATGAAGATCCAGCTGCTGGTCTCTACAGGGATCCTGCTGGTCGCCCTCTTGCCTTGCCATGAGTGCAGAGCCCTCAGCAAGAGCGTCCCAGCCGCCGACAGCACTCTGCAGCAGCCAGACCTTCCCCAAGCGCAACCACAGTCGCTGCCCATCTTGCTCCGCATGGGAGAAGAGTATTTCTTGCGCTTGGGCAACCTTCACAAGAACCCCGCTGCCTCTTCCCTCTTCTCTTCCTCCTCGGGCACTAGCAGCAGCAGCAGCAGCAGTAATCACCTAGCAGCGTCTGCATCCGCCGGCAACTTTTTCCGAGCAGCGGTGCAACAGCTGCAGCAGCTGTCGCACCTGCACGAGCGCTCGCTAGAGGGCGCCGCCGAGCCCTGGGAAGGCGAAGAGGACGGCGGCCACCTGGAAGCTCCGGAGAGAGAAAAACGCTCCGAAGAACCGCCGATCTCCCTGGACCTGACTTTCCATCTCCTCCGAGAAGTCTTGGAAATGGCCCGAGCGGAGCAGCTGGCGCAGCAAGCTCACAGCAACAGGAAACTGATGGAAATCATCGGGAAATGAACC